TCGGAAGATCGCAACTTTCGTTCACGTATTAACCGAGCTAGTTCTACTGCGCTTTTCGTCAGCAATTCTTCCTGCTCCTTATTTGGCGGCGCAGGTACCCTACGGGCCACTCCCAGAAACCATCCAAGTACAAATTCTAAAACTCGATCCAAAATTATATGTAGAAATGGTACAATAGTGGAAAAGGCCGCCATTATCCAGTTGATGGCAGATGACACGGCAAATTTTCAATAATCGGTTGATCGTTCAAAGACTCGCTCTGTACAATTAAAATATGATAAAATATTAGGTAAGCAAAGAGAAAATCAATAAATTAAATACTACCAGATTGCTTAACTGCATACGTAGCTATATATAGATGTATGTAAGACAGTATGCTTTGCCTTGCATAAAGCGAAAAATTAATAATGGCACTTATCTTGCACGTTACTTCCTATCACAGGTAAACGACCGGTTTCACTCTGCTCAAGAAAAAGAAATGATAATATGAGATAATGATAATTGGGAAATTAGGACTTCATTAGTGGACAGTGATGTTAACATACCTCTTACGTACCTTATTATTTTTACTTTGTATGCCGTAAAGTCCAAGGGCCAATACGCGAATAAGTAGTTTGAAAAATATTGCAGATTGCGGTTAATTTCCAATTAGTAATTAGAGGTTTGAATTATTGGCTGATAACTAGAAATTGTCTTGTATTTGAAACATAGGAAATTACATATATACCTAAGTAGGGCAACACTGAATTGGTGAATTCGCCGCAATTTCCCGTGGAACTGTCGCCGCAGTGTTGTTTCGTATATGTTGATTGATTTTGCTACTGTTTTGTTTCTTTTGGTCAACGCATAATAAAGTAATCGCTAGGGGCTAGTGTTTTTAACTTATTTGTAATAATTTAAAAATAAATGAGTAAAATCCAAGCAAGTTGAGCGAATTGTTGTGAAATAAATTTCATTTACAGCAGGTAAGTGTAGCTTTACTCAATTTACCTGAATACATACATACATACATACATATGTATGTACATATGAGATTATGCGGAAGTGGGGGGCGGCGGAAAACTACTTACATTCAAACATACCTATGTGCATGATTGAGCTCATCCATCAGGTGCAGTTAAACAAGTTCCCTGATTGTATCCAATACATTTTTTCCATGCGAATTTCATTTAGCAGATTCCTTATGTGACAACTCTCATGCAACGCCAAGTATGCATAACTGAGCTAAAATATTCATAAAAACGCAGATCCATTTGTACAAATATATGTATGTTTACAAAGCCATACATGGTATAAACAAAATAAAGGTGTTCCATTTGTCGACACCACCTAATATAATGTAAATAGTGAGTGTCGAAGCTAACTAGAGATGTATTAATACATGTCGCACTCTAAATTAAAAAAAAAGTCACAACTTAAAATTTTTCAAAATCGATTTTTCCCCATAAAAGAGTTCATGGGCCCTATTTCTATAGTCCGCCAAAATGTCTTCTCATTATTTTTCTTTAACTGGAAAACCCCTACTAACAGGTCTCTCTATTCTGCGCTGGTAATAAAAATTTTGTAGCCGGTAAATAAAGTTCCTGTAAATTTTAAACCCTGGGTACTCTTGTAACCGATAAATTTTGTTACATGTCATAAGCTGGTAACAAAATATTGTCCCGTGAAATATTCCACAAATCTTCATAGCTGAATTGCTGAATACCAGCGTACCTAGAATCGCGGTGACAAGAACTAGTAAAATTTTGTGGTAAAAAAATTTTCCGGTTTCAAAACCTTCGGTGATGTGCAGGATAGACCTGTACACAACCCTCTCCCCGGTTTCATCCTCACGCCAAACGAAACGTGTGGGGTTTTTCAAAAAAGCACACCTGTCAACCCTGGTTATGACAGTTTTTGATTTAGGGTGCGATATATACATAGTGCATTTAGAAGGATAAAATACGTTGCATAAGAAGCAGTGAAAAATCGTTATATTAACTATCTTGCCAGTATATATTTACATATGTATATATGTATGTATGTATGTATGTATATTTACATATGTAGATATGTATGTAATTCGTTCTTACTTACATACATATATGTATATGCATGTACTTACATATGTGTGTGGTTTATTTACAAAGTGCTAGTACAGTGCAATCCGGTTATAATGGCTCCATGGGACCGCGTCAAATTCAGAAATAAAATCAGAATATAATATTTTTAAATAACAAAGAAAAAATATACAAGTATGTATAAATTTAAAATTGTATACTTATCATGGAAGGAAAATGCCCATTTTTCGTTCCGACATTTTTCTTAAAGCGAGTTCATTGTAAGTGGATTACACTGTATATACAAACATATGGTCGATTATACTGTGCGACAGCCGAACCCAACCCGGACTTTGTTAACATTTTCCGAAAGTATACCCATTCAGTAGTAAAAGACTCGATGGATTTTGAAAAGTTAGCTCGTATTTTTATTTTATGGCTACTAAAGTTTTCATGTCACGGCCTAAGTAGTTTTTAAAAAATAAACATCTGAGCGATATTAAAGGTTAACCCATACCAGGTTTTTTTGTTGATTTTTTATTTTAATTGTTTAGAGACTTTTACGTTGGTTTTAAGAAGCTTTTGCCTGAGAATACCCCTAGTAAAATTCCCCGAAGAATAATTTTCTAGAATATATCAATCCTATAACGACCTTCCAAATTTGCTTTTTGCGGGGTTTCCTGAACGGGTGGGTTAGGGTTAAAATGTTGTACGAAAATATTTCCTATGAAATTTTACTATATCGTCGCCTGGGTAAAAGATTGTCGTATGTTAATTTCGGCAGGTTGAGGGGAATCGCGATTGAAGTGTGGAATGCAATTTATCAAAAACGCGAGGATAGAATTTCTCCACAGTCTCAGAAAATTTTACTAGTTCGGCCAAGCACTAGCATATCGTCACTAGGCACGAATAAAGGCGCGCCATGGTTTTGACGGCGAAAAAGGATGCATTGGCGAAAAAAGACAGCGAATAAAGCCCCGTAAACATAGATTTATACCTAGCCAAGGACTGTCACTTCAGCACTATTCCTCAAAAACTCTTTGGTCAATGTATATACTATTACACCTGCAAACATAGTTGACCGCGAAAATTAGTTTACGCGTCTTTCTTCACCGTCTTTCTCCACCGTAAAATAGGTTTACGCATCTTTCTTCGCCGTCGGATAGGTTTAGTTAGCCGCCTTTCTTCGCTGAAGTTTTTTATGCGTCTTTTTTCGTGGTCAACTTTTGAGCTCGCGCCTATTCTACAAACCTACAATGAGTTTTTTTGCAAAGAAATAAAAAGGGTGAGAAAGTACCACAGATACCTCACAAGTCTATATCAGTATAGTTTTGGCCCAGTTGTTCAAGTTTTTCTTAAACAAATCTTGGAAAAATAGTTAAAAAAAACAGTATCAAAGATCTCATTATTATGATTAAGTTGAAAATTTTTCTTAAGATTTCTAAAGCTTAAACTGTTTTGTTACCTGAGGGGATTTTTTCCAAAAAATCCTTTAACAAACTATTTGTATTCATAAAACTCCATTTTTGGAGGTATTTTCCATTCGGTCCATTCGGTTCACAAATCTTAATATTTTTCCGAAATATTTTGGTGGATCTCGTAAAATATAATAAATTTTGTAATCCCGGCGGAAAAAATCGCAACTTTTTTGGTGATGCAGTCTAAAGCATGATAAAAACATAGCAAGGTAGAAACGTTCTCTCAATTTGTCGGCCATGATTTTTTTTTGAAGTTTGCCAACATTTTAAAATCATATTAAAGTGACAATGAAATTGTTCGAAATTGTTGTTGCTTGAGATTGAAAATGAAAATGTGTGTGTGAGTTTGTGAGTAAATTTAAAAATTAAATTGTTTGGAAACGTCAAGAATTTTAAAAGTGACTCTCAGCGGTTATAACTTACTATATTTTTATCATGGTCTAAAGTACATATGTATGTTAGTGTTTGGCCGAGCTTCTCTTCCGATTTGTGGCGTTTGTCACAAATTTGATTTCCTTTCAAATTGAAATCTGCACCATAGTGTGTCGTTTTATGCAAACAAAAAAATTTACTAGTTACGGTTTTTTGCATTTCGGATTGTATCACAAGAAAATCTCAATTTGGTTCCAAGCGATTATGAACACTCACTATGAGAATATTTTAGGAAAGTAAACTCTTTTTTTCGAGACCCTATAAAAGCTGCTAACTCGTTTCGTTGTAAAGGTATTAAAGAAGCCTAAATACTTAAATACTTCCCCCAAAAACGAATATCCCAATATCCCATCATGTCAAACCAAAAAGTTATACTGTTTCCTTAATCAATGTGGACTATGGAACTCATTACCAAAATCAATTGAATGTACAAAATTGGTTAGATGCTTTAAGACGGTAGTTAAAGACCTTTTTTTAACCGACTTCCAAAAAAGGATGAGGTTATCAGTTCGTCGGAATCTTTTTTTTTTTTTTTATGTATGTTACCGCATAACTTTGCACCACGTCAACCGATTTCAATAATTCGGAAAGGTAGTGTCTCAGAGGTGGTCCCATACTAATTTGGTTTAGATCCGATCATTGGATCATGAAATATATAGATATATATATATTTTTTTTAAGTCGGTTTTTTTTTCTAAAAATTACTAGTTGTAATTACCTATTTATATGCCCTTCTCTATCTTCTCTGGTGTCACTCTTTCTCAAATGATTTATTATCTCTTACTCCCTTTTAATAATTGGCTAAGTCCTAGAATTTAAGCTTAGTCTATGATTTAAACCCGTATTTGATAATGTAAAAATGTACAAAGAACAGACTACGCCTTACAGTACTAATAATCATAAATCAATAGTAAGAAGAGATGAAGAGAAGATGCACATTCCAGCAATAGCCGCTGTATTAAGACCGCGATACAAAAATGAAATTAGTCCGCGCGGAAATAACTAATTTTGCTGGGTCGCGATAAAAAAAAATGAAATTTGGCCGCCAAACAAATAAGAAGGCGGCCTTAATTCAAGCGGTCAAAATTCAATCCACTGCATAGCGAATTTAAACATTAATCAAATTTCGTTATACATATATATCTATGCATTTACATATGTGAGTAGTCCACTTGCAAACAGCTTTTTATAAATTTAAAAAAAAAAAAACGTCTACGACAACAAGTAATATCCAAACTGTATCTTTTTTTATTACCTGAAAATTTGGATAAATAAGAGCCTAATAACCTGACAAAATAAAATTGCAGTATACTAGTTTTTGCAAATGTTATAATTAACAAGTAAGAAAGTCTAAGTTCGGGCGGAGCCGAACATTAAATACCCGGCGCAAGTATTAAATATATGTTTTCCACCTTTCCGAAAGCTACCGCTACATGATAAGCCGGGGTGTATACATTTTAAGTAAATTAGCGTCCTTAAATTTCGAAATATTGAAATTTCAAGCACATCTGAAATTTACCGTTATATGAAAAGCGGCCTCAATTTTAGTCCGATTTCAACAATTTTCAACGGTTTGCTTTTATGTGGCAAGCACAATAACCATACCGAGCTTGGTACAAATTGCTAGAACGGTTAGCGAGATACATATATGTGATCACAAGTGGGCGGTGCTACGCCCATTTTCCAAAATTTTGTCATAAACGTATTTCTTGGTAAAGAATTGTTGCAATCATCAATTTTGAATAAATTAGCTTCAATATTTACTGATTTATCGAAGATTTTGTATTTCTCTAAATTACCGTTATATGGGATGTGGGCGTGGTTATTGTCCGATTTTAGAAATATTCGGCCAGTTGGTATGCTGTACCAGGACCAACAACTGTGCCAAGTTTGGAAGAAATTGGTGTAGCGGTTACCAAGATATACACATGTAACCATAAGTGGGCGTGGCTACGCCCATTTGCCAAAATTTTGTAATATTCTTATTTTTCGTCTAAAACTCATTGCAAACATCAA